CTAGATAGACTGTTTCCTCCAGGTGCCGAGGAAACTGCTGTGCAACCACACTCTCAACAACCTTCGCCACAAAGCGAAGGTTGGAGACTGGATGATAGTTGGCCAATACATCTGGGTTCAGGGAAGGCTTCTTAAGGAGGGGCCTCACCACCGCCTCTTTAAGGGCCGTGGGAAAGGCACCCTCCCCCAAAGAAGCGTTTATAATTCCCTGGAACCAGGCTCGTGTACCCTCCCGAGCCGCCAGTACCAGCCAGGAGGGACACGGATCCAGCAAACGTGGTTGCATTCAGTCTCCCCAGGACCCTGTCCACGTCATTGGGAGTCACAGAGTCAAACTCCTCCCAAATAACAGTCTCAAGACCTGCTCCTGTCACCTCCCCCGGGGCCACCCAGTCGGAGTCCAAACCCTCTCGGATCCGAGCGACTTTGTCATGCAGATACTGTGCAAACTCCTCACCTTGCCTCACCTCACCCCGCAGGATGAGCCTCTTGCCCACCACCCCACCTGCCAGAGAGCCCCTGTATCTCCCCCAATCCTGCCTGGCCCCTACAGGATCCCTTCCCACAAACAACATCGAGGTGATCACGCCCACCTTGGCCACCCCCACCCAATCCCCCATGACTACCACAGCCACCCCTACCCAGTGGCCCACGCCCACCTGGCACCCGGCAATAAATAAGTTGCAGTTTGGGCACTTGGTCTCTAAAAGGTTCGCCATCACTGATATATATATATTCATTGTGTTATGATGTTATGATGCTGTTTTTAGCTGTCGGTTTTCTGACAGCCAGTTCTGAATAAAATTATGGGAGCGTTCTAAATAAATACCTAAATAAAACTTATCGATTGAAAGGAAGCTGCTGGATTGGGAATAAATTTACGGATAACACTTTCTGTGCACGCCTCTCCCCTCCCTTTTCTGTGGCATGATCCTGCTAACAGTTCAAGGTGAACTGTTAACCAAACTGGATAATTGCAACTATAAAGGACTTATGTCTTCCCTTGTTTACCTATAAGAATGCCTGCTTTTCGTTCTAGAAGCTGCGTGTGTAACAGAGTTCATTGCTTCGGTTAAACATGGCTGCACTTTGGTTCACAGTTACAATTTAAAATACTAACTTTTATAAAGAATAAACCTTATCTAAAATGAATAATATGTTATTCATAAGCTATATGCCATATGCAATAGTGTGCACTATTCTACGAAACGTTGCCAAGATACTCTCAATCTTAGCTTAGCTAAGTACTTCTATATGCCTATTCCTTTAGCAGAAATGTACATTTATTGTGTACCTCACAGTGGGGTAGGTTGAGAGAGAGAGGGACTTGCCCAAAGTCACCAAGTTGGCTTTCAGGGCTAAGGAGGAACTAGAACACCCCATCTCCTGGTGACTACTATTGAGCAAGGGGGTACCTTGCTCAATAGTAGCAACTGTGAGAGGGATCTCGGGGTCCTAGAATAGAAGCCAGCCGTGTGCTGCAGCTGCCGAAAAGGCCAACACAGTGCTGGGCTGCATTAACAGAGGGATAGAATGAAGATCAGGTGAAGTGTTAATACCACTTTACAACGCCTTGGTAAGGCC